AAAAATCGTCTCAAGAAGCCACTTCCCAGTTCTGCTAAAGTTTCGATGGTAACCTTAAATGGATTCAACAAACCTAAAATCTGATCATTAGGTCATTGATTGTTGACATGGTGCTCCAGCAGTAAAATGTAAAAACGGGCTCTGAGCATGGTGTCAACAAACAGAAAGATATCTTCCTCATATGAAAAATTAAAATATTAAGTCTGAAGGAGAGGTTTAGGTCAAGTATAAATATATTAGGTAAGGTTAGGTTAGGACAGGCAAGGTTAGATTAGATCAGGGAGAGTTTGGTTCAGTGAAGTTGAGTTCGTTTTGTGAGTTAGAGTTGGCTTAGGTTAGATTAAGTTGGGTTAGGTTAGATTAAGTTGGGTTCGGTTAGATTAAGTTGGGTTGGGTTAGGTTAGGCCACGGTAAATAGCACCAGAAAACAAGACTTGAAAGAGCCTCGCCAAAAAGGAGTGTTTTTTAGCCCCTTTTTGGATGCCCGAGTTGGTCAACCGGACAAGACTTAAATGTGAGCCTATGGTAAGGCAAAATTCCAGGCAAAGTTTCAACTTGAAGTGAGCCCCCATTCAGGCTGTACAGCGTTGCGAATTTTTCATATTTATGTGCTAAAATCAAGGAATTCTGAGCTATTAGTCCAGTGAACAGACTAGTACACCCAAGTTGGTCGATGGGACAAGGCTCAAATGAAAGCTTATGGTAAGGCAAACTTGCAGGCAAAGTTTCAATTTGAAGTGAGCCGCTGTTTAGGCTGTACAGCGTTGTCAGTTTTTCATTTTTTTATGCGAAAATCAAGGAATTCTGAACTAATAGTCGAGAGTATTATAATTACACAGACTTTTACATCGGTCTACAGGCAGAATACTACCCTCAGATCGCATAGAAGTGCAATTAAAGGCCATCGTGAAATTTTCGAAGCAGTGTTGCCAATTTTTTCTTAATTTTTTAACATAGAATGAGGGTACTTTCAAGACTTTTGGCAGAAAACCTGTACCCTCATGGGCTATAACTTTGACGAGTATGGGCAAATTGAATTTTTTGCATGAATGACAACTAAATGCTACAGCATGAGGCTCTCATGCCTCCCAGAACAGAGAATCGCGTTTTGATTTTCAAATATGGAGCTGAAAAATATCTTTATTTTAACGTAAAAATGCCATGAAATGGTAACATTGGCCTAAAAATTCGTCTTCTCCCTTAAGACCAATCCTATAGTGTTGTAGGGTAATAATTTGCTTATACTGTAGAATGAAAGCCCCTTAGAGTACAAATTTTGCACCAAAACTCAAAAATATCAGAGTCTTATCGTAAAATAAATGTTCACAATGTGGCAAAGTTGCTCTGAAAATTCCATTTTTACCCTGAACAGTAATCATGCACTATGCAATGGTGGTATTCAGCCAAAAATTACGTATTTCGAGCATTCACTTGAGAATATATGTACTTAGTTTTTGTAAGAAATTAAAATGAACTTGGCAACATTGCTTTGGAAATTCGATTTTCTCCGTGAGCAGCGATCATTTAAGGTACGGAACCTTAGGCGCGTCTGGACGCGGCGTCCAGACGCCGATAAATCTGTCTAATGATTTTTGCGCGGGGACGGCACCTTAGCGGCGAAGAGACGCTGCGGAAAACGCCGATGGAGGACGCTCCGATCTGTCGCGAATAGATCGGAGCGAAGACGCCGACAAATTCCGCTCAGTCCGCTGCCTTTCCTACCGATTTTTGAATGTGTTTAGTTCGAAAAAACCCACGAATCGATCACAAAGGCTGCGAATTGATCGACAAAAGCCGTGAATCGATTGACAATTCCGTGAATCGATCGACAAGAGCCGTGGATCGACCGACCCACCCGTGAATCGATCGACAAAAGCCGTAAACCTGTGAATCGATCGACAATCCTATGAGTCGATCGACAAACCTGTGAATCAATCGACAAACCTATGAGTCGATCGACAAACCTTTGAGTTGATCGACAAACCTGTGAATCGATCGACCAAATTGTGAATTGATCGAATTACGTCGATCGATTCATGTCGATTGACTTGATACCGGTTTTTCTTTTAATTGTCAATCATTTCTCGTCTATCGATGCACGTTTTTTGTCGATCGAATCCACACCGGTTTTTTAGTAATTTGTCCATCGAATCGGTGTCGATCGATTCACGTTTTTATTTTTCGGTCGATTTTTGTCGATCGAATCCACACCCTCCTAAAAAAAAAGCGCGTCCAGCCATTTTCGCGGCCCAGAGCATACTGTCCGATCAACGAAAATTCGAGAAATTGACAGCGGACAGAGCGGAAAAAATCCATGGATTCCGCTCCTAAGGTGCCGTGCTCCGAAATGTGAGCGTCTTCTCGCCCTCGACTCGGTAGCAGAGTTTTCCGCCGGCGTCTAGGACGCCACGGACAGACGCGCCTAAGGTTCCGTAGCTTTACCATCGTATGGTAATGTTTTTAGCCCATATTCGTCGAAGTCATAGCCCATGAGGGTACAGGTTTTCCACCAAAAGTCTCGAAAATACCCTCATTCTATGTTAAAAAATTAAGAAAAAATTCGCAACACTGCTTCAAGAAGTTCACGATGGCCTTTAATTGCGCTTCTATGCGATCTGAGGGTAGTATTCTGCCTGTAGACCGATGTAAAAGTCAGTGTAATTATAATGCTCTCGACGATTAGTTCAGAATTCCTTGATTTTCGCATAAAAAAATGAAAAACTGACAACGCTGTACAGCCTAAACAGCGGCTCACTTCAAGTTGAAACTTTGCCTGCAAGTTTGCCTTACCATAAACTTTCATTTGAACCCTGTCCCGTTGACCAACTCGGGTATCCAAAAAAGGGGCTAAACATGGCGATTCTCTTTGAAAGATGCTATAGAGGGAGATTTTAAGTTTTGTTGACACCAAGATCATCTCTCACAAGAGTCAGAATTTTTTTTTTAGATGATCACAGTGTCAGTAAAAACTTAGAAAAACTGTTTGTTGACACCATGCTACGTAATCTATTTTTTTCGATGTTTTATCATGTTTTACACACATAGTCTATCAAAATAGATACATTTAAGCTCAAGTTCAGATTGACAGATGAAAACGAGCCCAAACGGTCGATCGGTGGGACTTGCCAGAAGGGTTCCTGAGTCATGAAACGTGGTAGTATTATCCTGGGCGGTCTACTGTTCCTTTGACAGTAGTATGACGAATTGACGAAGTTCTACTACATTTAGCTTTTTATGGTCCTTCCAATGCAATAATAATTTTTAAGCAAAAAAAAAACTATAATCTTCTCCGGAGAACCGAACCCGAGGCCCTCGGAGAGGAATGAGATGCAATGACTACAAGATCACTGCTTTGACAGAATTGCCTAGCCTCAATTAAGGTTTGTAAACAAAGTATTACCAAAGTTATAGAGAAATTAAAAATGGATTTCTTTTTTAAAATGTTAGCATATCAGCAACCCAAAAAAACCCTAAAAACTCATGTTACAAGGTTTAAACATAAATATCTGATTTAATGCCGCTTAAATCGGGCTACGTGACCATACTGCGGCGCGGCCTGGTGATGGTGAGCAAAGCCTCATGGGTGTCAGAGTCCGAGCAGTGGGCACGGGTGGTGGGGAAGCAGAGAGGGGCCGGATTGGACTGAAAGGAAAGGGCACGAGTAGCGCCGCACAATGGTTTAGCTGGCGAGACCTCCATTCACGCATATAAAACAGCGAATATCTCGAAAACGGCACATGGGATCTCTTTCGGCCCTGAGAGCTTTTGATTAGAATGACCAGCTGAGCAACATATCCAAGTTTCACGAGATTTGGCCGGGAAGGATTCCCCATAAGGATCGTGCCGGCTTCTTTTTTGAAGCACGTTTTTCTATCGCTCCTCTGTTCAATTTAGCTTCAGGTATCTTAGCTTTTTTCAGTGATGCGCAATCAGATGGTAGCTTGAAACACTCTCAACTTTAAACTTCTTTTTTGTAGGTTAATATTGTTCAAGAATATCACAAAAAATCCCACAGAAATATGTGCTCTAGTTATCAAAAATGCAGGAATTAAAAATTACTTCACAAGCTCCAAGTTTAGACCTGAAACTCCAATGATGGACGTAGCCCATTGACTCAATTTGTAAGAGAGAGTTGTTATAACGTCATTTTTCTCTCACACATTGAGTCAATGGGCAGCGTCCGTTATCGGAGTTTCAAGTATAAATTTACAATGAATCTTAACAAAAAGGATGTCATTCTACTCAGTATTAATGCTGCTACACGTTATGGATCAGTTTCTTGCACTATCTTGTACATTGTGATAATTAATGCTTTCAAAGACGTAAAGCGAGGGGCAGCGCAGCGTCGTGGCGGATCTCCACCCTACACAGGGTGTCTACTAAAACAGGCTGGCTAAAAGTCAAACTTTTACGGTGCTTTTTCAGTACATTCCAAAGAAATTCAGTACCTCCTCAAGAGAAAAATTCAATACCTTTTCAGTACCTCCATTAGACGAAATTCGAAAAATTTCAATAATTTTAATTTCTCGCTCACATTGCGACAAAAATGAAAATCATTCCGGACCTCATGGCGGAATTTACGCACTTTTTCAGTACTTTCGGACAGCCCTTAAAATATCAGTGCTATTTTCGGACTTTCTGGAAACTCTGGACTTATGGCACCCTTCGAAATCACATAGGATCACCTTAAAGTGAGGTTCTCAAATCAACCAAGCTTGAGCTATCAGGCCGGCATTATCTTGCTTGCTCAATCGAATTCAACTCTATTCACCTTTCGTCACTCAAGTTTAATTTTCAACATTCAAGTTTTATTTTCAACATTCAAGAGGTAAGCTGTGCTACAACTTTGAGCAGTCAAAGTTTAGCATAAATTTCTAAGTGTTGAAAAAATCACTAATTTTGAGTTTATATTCTGGCAAAGCGACATTTTTGGAAATATTATGACCGACTCACCTTAGGTACATTCTAAAAAAAGTGAGACTCGCAAGAAAATGACTTACCTTGTGAAGTTGAAACAGATGTACTTGTGGAAACATTCTGCAGGGGTTGTGCCTGTGATGACCCAGTCGTAGTTTTAGAGACGACCGCGATTTTCGTTTTGTTAGTAGCCTGAAAAGATAGAAGGTACTAATTAGTTTGTATGGATACTACACCTATGAGAAATGACTCCATGTGATAAAAACTATTTCAAATGTTGACTGCTAAGGCTTTTTAGATATCAAGTCCCAGGAGGCTAATGCTGTCCCACACAGGCCAGCTTTAAAAGAGCTGCAGTTGGACGACTTCTGAAGCTCTGTGGCCTGATTATTGAATTGATACACAAAGCGACATACAAAAAAGAGAAAATGACAATGGGAGGATTCTCCTGGTGGAAGAAAATGGTTGCAATGGACGAAGGAGATAGGTAAAAGACTAACAACAACCCACTAGAGATCCTACGGTAACCGTGATTTCCACACATCTTCCATTTGTGTGCTGGTGCAAGTGTATCAACTTGAGATTTTCTCTCCTCTCTGTAGCCTTGCAAGACCAGTAACTGCCAATATTTGCAGGCTGAATGTATTGGTTAATGTATTAATGGGCAAACCTCACATGAATGTGAAAATTGAATCAGTCAGTTACAAAAAGGCTTAAGCGCCTGATATAAAAATGTGCTAAAAACAGAAGAAACAGTATGCTCCAACCCGTTTTAAGTTGCAGATTAATGAAGAATGTGATTAATTAATTCATCGCTTTAATATTTTAGAGCTTTGAGATTTATAAGGGATCAATTGAAACAGTTTTTACCATTTTTCTCAAATTCTTATTTTTGGCGCTTGAGCCCTTTCTTAACTGACTGATTCAATTGGAAACCACACATGCACCACTATGTAACTTTTCAGGAGAGACAATTAACTGTAAAAAAATAGGGGAACACTGTGTTTTAATCTGGAATTTTTTTTCTTTTCCTTGATTACACTGCCCATTGGGCTTTGAAGGCTTTTAATCAAAATTAATTTGGATTATCTGTACAACAAATTAAATTTGGAGATTGATGTGTGTGATTTTTTTAAATCACAACTGGACATCAAGATTCTGGCATTAAGCTCAGGCTAAGAGTTGATTCAAATCATGACTGTATAATATTTAAGCGATACTTTTATTCTTTTGAGCAATTGGAGTTTTTGAGAGCAAAGCGCTGCTTTGCTTAAAAAAATTTCGATTGAGGCGAGTTATGAAAGGGAGAAGAAATCAGGTCTGTAGGCAGGAGGCCACCAATTATGCTCATATCACGCACACAGCACATCAGACAAAAGCATTGAAACAGTCCTAATTTGTAGCAAATTCACTCTGCAGTGCAACGTCTGGACGTACGTAGAAAGAGTTGATGGAGCCAACTTTTCATTAACTCACAAAGTTTCGTTATTATTTGATATTTAAATAAAGTGTGAAAAAAAAAAATCAATCAAGTTAATAAAAGACAACTTCAGCAAAAAATGTATCTTCTACCGGTGTTTTCTCAGGCCATGCTGTGGCTAGGGTCTTGGCAGTTTTGGGCAGCATCTGCACTAAGTCTAGTTCAGGATCAGTGATGAGAGCCTGGATCAAATTTTGAGCTTGCTTCGTAGATTCCATTGAGCCTCTAAAAAAGTAGAATTATGATGTATAAACAATGATGAAACATCAAAATAATTAATCGATTGTCATCTTTCAATAAGCAAAATATAAAGCGTTTAAAGTTTTTGGCCAATCACGATGCACACTCAGCAGGCTACATGGAAGGTGTACCTAAGATCAGGTAGTATGCATTATGAACCAGTTACAGTATCAGAACAAATTAACTGCATGAATTCAGGCAAAAACAATGGGTGAACTACTAATAAAAACTGACCTGTTTGGACAACAATTTCACAATAACATTTCCTACCATGGCAATAATTTTTTGTAACCTTTCTCACATGATTACTGGTCAAATCGTGTGACATCTTACACTTTTATCCATTAGGAAGCATAACTTAGAGATTAGAGGATCCAAACAAATTTAATTTTTGTCTGGGACGGGGAGGGGTGTTGGGTTGGCAGAACTGTATCTATCAGCGTAGACAGTAACCACAATCCCCTCTGGCCGAAATTTAACTTTTTTGGTTTTTAGATTCTCCATGGATCAGACTGGAATAAAATATATAATTTCACAACAACATTGTATTTCCTACACTAAAAACACATTTCTTCTGTACAGCTTTAGAAAGCCCATTTAACCGGGTGTAATAGTTACTGCAAACTTTGAGGCTCTGAAGACAAGATGTAGAATCAACTTTTTGAACTTTCTTTGTTAGAACTTCTTCCTTCCTTCCCTTGGGTTCTCCTTATTGAAGTAAAAAAGAATGGCAAAATTCTTGGAGACACAACTTTTTGGAAATCATTTGCCTATTCTATGCGGTAAAGGTGAGTGCGGTAATTCTGATACTGCATGACTTCTGTTGTGAACATTGTTGTACCCTACAAAATCGAAAAATGACTGTTGAGTGTCAATCTCAACACATATTTACCTCAAATCTTACATCGCAATTTATCTAAAGAGGAATGGGCAATTCCAGAAAATTAGGTGAATCTTTGGAACTTCGTATCCCTGCAATTCCGAAGGGCTTGATTTTTGGAGTTCAGAGAACAAGAAAATGACATTACTGAGTGCCTTGTAAGGACAGGGGTAACGCTCAAAGTTTTGATGGTCATTACTTTCCATCTCTCAACATTACTTTTCCTTTTGCCTCAATCATTGATAACACAATGATTCAATAAATATGCTATTAAAATTATCACCATGTGCCAGCTTAAACTAGGATATCATGGCCAAAAACCAATGCAGTGTAATAAAGCACTTACTTGATTGTGATTATACGTTCTCCTTGACCTTTACTTTGTTTTTCTATTTCGATGAAAGCACCTGTTGTTGTTCTAATGGTGTTGATATTGGATCCACCTCGCCCAATAACGCGGCTGATGGCATTTGGAGGCACTGAGACTTTCTTCGATCGAAAAGGTGAATTCAAATATCTAAAACAAGCAAATTCAAATTACTGGTAATGTTTAGGAGAGACCACGAAAGTGTATATTAGAAAAGAAGTTCTTCCAACACTTTTACCATCATTATTAAGAATCAGAAAGCCAAAGTCCCATCCACTAAGAGCTGGCAGGGAACCTCCAAAAGGTCTGCTCCTGGTGTTTTTGCAGTCATATCAACTCGAATTGAGGAACAAAAAGCTTATGGCGTAATGGGTTATTTTCCTGATAATTTAAAAAATGAATTATCTATGACTGCTCTACTACTGCATTTGAGTACAAATTTTCTAATCTATCAGCCAACTTTTGGTGCCAAGAGTCAATTTTTCCTGTTATGGGGCACAGATTTGAGGTATTAGGGGACTTTAACTTAAACGCACACCAATGTGAATACAATATACATATATGACTGGTAGAGATAATGGGCTTTTTGATAATTTTCTTGACTTAAACAAATTTACACAGGATACGCTAGAAACTCGGAAGATGATAGATATACCCGGTTAAGAGGAATACTCAAAACATGTTGCTAGACAATGGTAGAGTGAAGCCTAGAACTTTTTGCTCCTTAGTAGGACATGCTAAGCAAGTATGCTTGAAGCAATGCTTCAGTAAACAAGATACGAATGTATGCATTCTGATGGATGTTCCCTAACCACAATTTTTCGGTATGATGATTTGCACAATAAATATTCCTGACATGAACTCTTGACAGACTTTTTTCTTACATTGGTTGTGGAAATTTTGAATTCCCTGCTTACAAGAAAAACAATTGTCTTGATACTTGGATCAAGTCCCGCACTGGGACGATCTTGGTGAGCTTCTCAATTGATAGGTGTCCCTTCCCCGGGTTGTGTTGTGCTGAGTGTTAGAGACGTACAACAGCGGAGCCGAAACATCAGGATTGAGTTTGCCATATTTCATACCATTGAGACTGTTCCAGTATCATTTAATACGTGATATAACTCACATAGATTTCGTTTTTCATAAGCAGAGGATTTGAGTTTACGCATCAAAATATTAAATACCTTCGTTGGGAGTTAATTTTTGTTGCGAGTCATGTTCTGAATGAAATTTTTGGTAAGAAATATCATAAGCGAAAATTCACACCTTGTCTAGAGGTTCATTTCTGTGAATCCCCTTGAGACATTTAATGATGATGCTCTGATTCTCGTGATCAGAAGGTTACAAATGCTATGAGAAACGTCATAATTATGGACAGAGACCACTGATACAAAAATTAAATTACAAAATTAATGCTCATTAGTTCTGCTTACTTTCGGACGACTTCCTTCCATCCCTCTTCTCCTCGTTGTTTAACAAGTTTGTTGGAGCCTGGTGCTTTTCCTCCCAATAATTCTTCTTCATAGTAGCTCCTACAAATTTGGGAAATCGAAACAAAATTGACTAACAATTCAAATATTCACTTAATTCATTAAATATTCATTTACAGAAAGTCTGCTTTCAACGGGTTGTGTGCTATTCTCTTTCCTTTATACAAAAGATCATTTAATGAGATTTGATGTATTCTCATTTGATTAGATGGGATTTTCTGAATTCCATGAGTTTCTTTCTGTGTGAGTTTCATTCATAGAAAGTAATGCAAAACCATTCAAAAGTCTTCCATTCCATAAATTTTTATTTCATTCCATATGTGAAAATTAGAGCACAGAATTAAGAAAAAACACAATTTAGTGAGACTTTAAACAAGAAGAGATGTTACAAAGTGGGGTTTAACATTTGCTTATGCAGATTAATTTGTTTCATGTCTTACTTTATATGTTGCGCGATTATCGAAAAAGGACATTGCACTGTTACAGGGATAGTAAGGCACTTTAATACCATATGGTGCATTAAAATTACTCCTTACAAGGATTAAACCAGAAAGTAGACTTCTGATATTCTGATGGATTTCACATGGAAATGTTAATGCTTCAGAATATTGACTTCCCGTAAGTACTTTTTCTGAAATTCAAATAATCAAATAGGGGTCAGAATGAGATAACTCACATGTAATTTGATTGATTGATACTACTGCTGCTGTGATTGTTGCTGTTGGTGCCCTTTTTCTTTTTAGCCCCCACCAAGAAATTTTCATTTGCATTTGTGTCGAGGTTGTCTCGCTGTGTCGTTGTAAAATTTCGAGAGGCTTCAAAAACGAGCGCTTGATGGGCCTTTGGTCTCCGTTCTGGGTTTGCCTGATGACAGCTGTTTATTGATGAGAAACTGTCCAAACTATTTTTAGCAGGCTTGTTTGATTTTGAGTTTGAGTCTTGTTTTGATTTTGGAACATTTTCTGAGGTTTTAGAATTAACAATGACTAACTGAGGAATAGGACCTTTCTTCTCCTGTAAAAAACAAAAAAAAAAAACAACTGTTTTTTTAGGGAATATATTATGACAACCACAGGATTGCCAGCCAAATTATTTTTTTCCATTCCCTGACTTTTCCCTGACTTTCCAATATTTTTCCCTGACTTTCCCTGACTTTTAAGTATGGATCTGACGCAGTCTGTTACAGTGAAATTGATCCAGTTGATCCCGCAACGCGAGCCCGAGACCGCCCGCGCCTAATTCCACGAAAAATCAGAAAAATCCCTGACCAACACCGAAATTCCCTAACTTTCCCTGACTTTTCCCGGTTGATTTTTTTCCCCTGACTTTTCCCGGTTTTCCCGGTCGCTGGCAACCCTGCAACCAATTATCTCTTCTGAATTTTACTCAATATTATTGAGCAAAAACTATCGTATTTAATTGTACATGAAAATTTAAAGATTTTCATGTCTGTTGTACTCACAGCGGGAGGCTACCAATTGTCCTCCTTAGATCAGGTTCAAATTTGGTAGAGGGGTAGAATAGGGAAACATACTAACCCCCATTTTTTTTTTTTTTTTTTTTTTTTTTTTTTTTTTTTTTTTTTGGCGCCAATACCCAGCCGTTTTTGAGGTATGAAGTTTTGAAGTTGCCATTTTTTCGTGTCAGCGACGTGCTCAAGTTGAGCCTACTGTGTCCGCACCTTTCAGTACGATCCAAGTTCCGCTCCTGACGAATGAGCTGGCTGGCCTGGCAGCAGCGCTCTCGCCCACAGTACCAGCAGTCCAGGATTCAATTCTCGTCCCGGCGATATTTTTTTACAATTGATTATTTTGTTATTTAATTGCTTCATCACAACAAATTGAAAGTCACCATGTAAACCTTATGATGCTCGTTATTTTCTTTCTTTTTTGTCAAATAATTATTAAAAAAAAAATACATGAAAAAATAATAAGTTACATCATAGTGTTTACATGTTGACTTACCATTTGGTGTGATGAAGCAATTAAAAAACAAAATAATCGATTGTAAGACAAGATCTCTGGGATGAGCATCGAACCCAGACCTCCGGTACCATGGGTGAGAGCACTGCTATTCGGCCAGCCAGCTCATACGTACGTAGTGGCACTCAGATCGTACTAAATGGTGCGCGCACAGAAGGCTCAACTTGAGCGTGTCACCGACACGAAAAAACGGCTACTTCAAAAATTCATACCTCACAAACGGCTGGGCATTGGCACAAAAAAAAAAAAAAAAATAATACGGGTTCTTATATTTCCCTATTCTACCTCTCTGCCAAATTTGAACCCGATCTGAGGAGGATAATCGGTAGCCTCTCCCCTTGTCAGGGAGAGTTTCATGCTACATGCTACTTTGCCACTTTTAGTTGCTGCTTTTGCTACTTCAAAATACTTCTTTCAACTGACAGTTTTCAATGCAAAATTAGCCTGAAGCGCCAATTTTCTACAGGAATCAACCGATTCAATTTAAAGTGATTCTTAGAGTGAGCATGTTCCATACTTCATTCATTGCAAACCTGCAAATCCATGGAGACTTTTACATTTATACAGTTTAGTAACACTTATGGATAGACGCATCTAGATGCAAGACGAAATTTCGATATTGCAATCAGAAGTGCTCGAGAGAAGAGTGTGAAAAAGAGGTGGGTGCTAAGCTTCACAAGAGGTTCTTAGATTCCAAAACCAAAGTGGTACGAAGAAACTTGTTTAGGACTTTTTTTTTGGAGGGGGATCTCACATCTCTCAGACTTCAAAACTTTTGATGGTAGTATGTTAAGTCTAAGTAAAACCGCTTTGTTTAGAAATAAAGCACTATTTATCATTTTCAGGTGAATGGGGCTTAAATTTTGATAAAAAAAACCTATTACTGGGTCTTCCTTTATCATATGAGAGAGTAAGGAGGGGGTGTAGACCAACTTGGATTTCGCAAAACTCAAAAATAAGATACAATCTAGGCCAGCAGCCTGATTGTTGAAACTTTTTGTTTGTCGGGACAACATAGAAGACATAGGTTAAATGGCGGAGCGTGATTGGTCGGCTATGTCTTTTCGCTGCTTTGTCGTGCTTATGTCGGGTTGAACTCACGACAAGCTAACAGCACCTCTTAAGTTTCCAACAGTATGTCGTACATTCCACCTGACAAAGGCACCATGAAGCAGCGATAAGACATAGCCGACCAATCACACTCCGCCTTTTAACCTATGTCATCTATGTCGTCCCGACAAACAAAAAATTTCAACAATCAGGCAGCAGGCCTCCTGAAAAATGCCCCTAGGTCTTTACCTTGGATACCCCTTCTTGCCCTACACCTTGACAAAACCTGACAACTACGGCCTAATCTGTAAGTTTATTTTAAGGATAAAAAATAAATTGCATGAATGAGTCCATTCATTCGGGGAACCTCATCTCTCATTCATAATCTGTCCATGTTACAGCTCACACCTTCCGACACAACTGATATAGTGATGAATGAGTAACAGTTATGAATATTGAGGGAGACTTTGAAGGCACAGTCGCCAACCGTCACCAATAGTGGCACAACGAGAGAAGAAGAGAAGGAAAAGATGAGAACGAGGAAAACGTGGGATTCCCTTAACAGGCTATAGATAAGTCTTCGATTAAGAGCTTCAGCACGGGCCACTTTCCTGTGGTTACCAGAGCGGTGCACTACATAGTATACCGGGTAGCAGATAACTATTTCTTGCGGGAACAAAGATCCCGCTTGTACCTTGTAGCACTATGTTATAGAAATACTTATGGGTTACATGTCAAAAAATATATACTTTTTATGGCAAACCATGAAAAATCAGTATCTGAAAGTCAGTGAGGATGAAACCACACCAACTTGGCAACTTGTAAGCGCCTAATTCTCTGTCATTCAATACGGCCCATCTATTTCAACTTGGTCCCTTACAATGTCTCCAAGTACTTGTCCTTAGGCACCAAAAAGCTTTTTCATTATGTAACTTTGTCGCCTGCTGCACAGTTTTTCGTGTTTCCTGAACAATGTATTTTATCTGAGTTGGTGTGTTTTTTAACGCACTGATTCAATTCAGGATTACATCTATCAAGAATAATAGATACTAAGAACCATCGCATCATTCAGCTGAGTGAGTTGTGGAAGTTCGCAGATATGTGTTCGCTTGTGAGTTGCACCAAGGCAACCAACTTCATAATACAAAAAAATTCATCAACTATGAGAAAATTAGCTTATTCAAAGCTTATAAAAATGTCAACTTACCTCTTTTTCTTTTTTATTGAGAGGAGAGGCACTAACTTTCCGATCAACAAGAATATTAGACGATGAGATTGCGCTATTAGCATCTGAATTGCCTTTTCCTTTCTTTTTCTTTTCTTTTCGACTGTGTTCTTTACTTTGTTTTGCAACTTCGTTGCTGCTGCAACTTCCTTGACTAGTGGCATCAATCCCACTATCTCCAGCTTCTTCAACCTCTGTTCCACGATATGCTTTTCTCTGGACCAAATTTCCTCCCTTTTTGTTGGAAGATGTCTCGCGGTTCTTCTTGTTAGTCACTATAAAAAGTTGCAAACATTAGCACCTCAGTAAGGCTTCTTTTCCCAGTTTGAAAATTTTCTCTTTACGAATAGAGAAAAATTAGGAAAGTCATCTTGAGGTTGTACTATTAATCATACAGTTAAGGATAATTTTAATGCATTTGAAAATTTGGTAAATCTGATGGACTGAACTTGAACTTACAACACTGGCATCCGAAACTTTGTCACCAAAAATGCTCACACTTGCTGTCAGATAGTTCTTCGCAAGAACTAACCACAGTTTTTCCAAACTATATACAATACAAAATCTTCCTAGCTGGACTTGCCAATACATAAAAAAAAAAAAAAAAAATTCGTTGGCCCACCCTGAAGGGTGCACTACAAGTGATCCTGACAACATTTGGAGAATAATAAATTAAAATCAGAGAGTACAGGAAATCACTAAGAAAAAATTGATCCCACGAAGTAAAAAAGTGACTGATCTCAGCCCAAAATACAGCTCCTTTGAGACAAAAAAAAAAGCGCCCCATACAAAGCCATCAGAGCCCCATACGGGGCATGGTTTTGGAACTTTTTGGTAATTACGAAATTGTAAGTACTAAAAAGTTTCCTTCTGTCACAAAAATTATGCTTAATTTATGTTGTTGAGTTTTTGGTTGATGTCCTGAGTTCATCCCACTGCCATCTTTGATACAAAAATTTGTTATGATTTTGGAAAAATTCCATGTGTTAGTTGCAACTTACGGCCAAGTAATCCCATGCAATTACTACGAAAATGCAACTTACACTTTATTTGATATCATCATTTTGAGAGAGGGTGGCATGTAACGTAAGAAACTTAGGAAAGATTGGAAATTTTCGTGAAATATTTCATGAGCCTGTGAAATTTATAAAAATTTGTAATTTTATCCTTTACATTGAAGCAAAAATCAATTTGGAAGTTCGTGAATAAATTGTGCATCATTCATATTCATTGTAGAGCCTGTTTCCTTCATTATTGCTTTCTCTTTTAGAGTTAAAAGAGACACGACTGCTACAAGTTTGGAGGGTATACCTCCCTTAGCCCCCCTTCCCTAGTCTAGATCGGAAACCTAACCTCAAACTCGTTTGTTTACAACACTTCGAGTTCCTCAAGTTCAGTTCAAAACCATTCTCAAGCAGTAAAGTGCAAACCACCAGCTAATTGCTAATTATAAAACCAATTGATACCCTCTGAGCTGCTGAATCTTCTATTATAAAAAAAAGAAATTCTAGAAAAGGCATTTTAATAAAACTTAAATTTAAAATCCGCCCACCTGTCTTTTACTATACTCCACGAGAGCTTCCTGCATTCCTTCAGTGCTCTAAAGGGAGAAGGAGGAGGGCATCTTGCCATTTTTCATTGAACTTAAATGGCAAGAATCCATGCCATGGAATAACAAAGCTAGCTTTGCTATAAGAAGATCTACAGCAATCTTTACAGTAAGACCATGAAAGATATCCGTCAATCATGTCATTATTGTTTTTTAAGAATTTCGGTTGACCATTCTCAGAAGTCGACTGCTCTTTTTATAATCTTTGCTAGGCTCAGGTTGGTCAACCCGGCAAAATAAATCTGAAAAGTGGGGTTGCTCATTCTGTCAGTACATTTTACAAAAGATATCTATGAAAGCGTCGATTGCAATCGGAAAAGGTTTATTTTTCATGCATCATCCCGAATATTTAGCAAAAGATCTGCAAAGATTACTGTGAGTATCGATGTTGGTCGAGCACTTCAAAGTCATTCGTAGGCCTGTGGCCTGTTGTGAATTCTTTCCTGTGGCGCTTCTTATAGCACAGCTAATTATTATTCTATATTTATGGCGTTCTGTAGAATTGAAAAATATAAGGGAGAGAAGAGGCTTGGAGAGTGAAACCCTCTCTTTCTTTGCTCTCCTAAATAATTCTGTAAACCTCAGGCTATGAGAGATTTGGAAGAAGCAATGCAAAATCAGGTTTCTTACGAATTCCCTATAAAAAAATTTTGCTTGAATTTATTCATGCTTCTCCAAAAATATGAGGGGCTTTGACCCTATGCCCCATATTCATACTTGGTAGGCAATTCGTTGGAGCATAAAATAATAAAGCTAACGCCTTATTTTTCAATGGTTGGTGCCATGCTGCCTTACCCTTATACCTCCACTAGTCCTAGAAGTAGCCAAGGAATGTGCCAACGTACCCATAGTATAGCAAGGGAAAAAACTGATTGCCTACGTTTAAAACAAAGGGAATAAAACAGTTGTTGTTGGTTACAAAAAGGCATTAGGAGGCCCTCTAACAGTTTTCTATTATAATGGTGAATTTCGAACAATCTTGCTTTAATTTTTCATAAATTTCTGAAAGAACGACGGACCGGTTTTAAGGGAAAAGCGGGCACGGTTAAATTGGCTGGTGTTTTAATATGTTGTAGGTCTTAACCTACTGATCAAAAGTGTCAATGGGCGTTTCTTCCTATCTCGAAGTTTTACCCCCCATTTTGTTTTACCCCCCAAAGTTGCCAATTCAGCGTATAATTGGTAGTTTTGAAACCCGGGTTTGTTAGTCGCCTATAAGATTCTTTAATGGTTTTTGAGTCTATTATATCCTATGAATAGACTAGAGACCATCCAAACTCAAAAACTGAACAATTTTGCCTCATGGGGAAGGGGGGGAGGGTGTTTACGCCACCGACTTCAGCGTCAGCGAGGCGCATTAAACCGATTGTTTCGCCATGTTTTGGAGAATTTTTTATGCAAATGATTGCGACTACATCTTAAAAGGTCGACCAAGATGCAGCTCAGAATATA